AAAATTAATTTTTTTAATATAAACATTTAAAAAAAATATATTTTTAAAAGTATTTTTTAAGTTTTTTAAAGTATTTTTTAAGTTATATATATATACATATATAAATATATATATATATATATATATTTATATAAAATTAAAAAAAAAATTATTAAGAACCGAACGGTTCTACGGTTCTAACCGGGAACCGAACCGGAACCGAACCGCAAGGAACCGGATTTTTTCGGTTCGGTTCCGGTTCCTCCAAAATCGGAACCGGAACCGGCGGTTCGGAACCGGAACCGAACCGAACCGTGGTCAGGTCTAGGTAATACTCACATTGCAATAAACATTTTAATGTTTAATGTTTACTGAGATTAACAAATTATTAACTAAATAATCAAACTTTATTTAGTATTTCGTATCCTAATAACTTGTCGGGTCGATCCATTGTATTATAATAATACAGACTTGATTCTTTATTGGGCCATCTTATTACTAACCTGCGAATCACTACAAATTAAAATGCAAACCCAATAATAACAATAAAGAAAGCCTTTTTTTTTTTCCCCCTTAATTACTCGACGATTAAATCAAAATCTGATTAAATTATCAATCATAATCCGATTTCCTCATTACAAACCAGCGCTGACACGAAACACTAGCTGCAGATTCTCTGTTTCAAGACGAAGAAAACCCAGGTATGCTTTTTCTTCTTCATACCGCACCTCCCATTTATTCCTTCTGTTCTAGGGTTAGCGATCCATAATTGATTTTCGCGGTTTATTTACTCCAATAGTATTATTGCTCAAGTGATTAGAAATTAGAATCATCAAATTCTTGCAATTCTGAGAAAAACCCATTTCTTCGTTTCGCTTCTTGCGGGCTGTTCCCTAATCTCTCTCCCTCTCTCTCTAGTCTCTCTCTCTCTCTCTCTAGAGAGAGAGAAGAGAAATGAAAAAAATGATGGGTAATTTAAATTTCACTATAATTGTTGATGTTTTGAAGAAAGTGACATTCAATTGCATCTATATATACGAATTACTCTACTATTACTGAATTGCAAAGTTTTGTTTTTGCCCAAACACAACAAATTCGCACTTTCTCGATTGCCCTTATTTTCTCCGGTCGATTGCATTAATCGATGCCCTATATTAGTTTTGTAATTCAATCTTAAAGGTATTTTGTATTTTGCCAAAATGTGGCTAATGTGCCTTTTCTAATGTGATATGGTGTCATCTATAGTTTGTGCAATTCGTTACGAGTTTTCGCTGAATGGGATTTGAATTTAAATGGAAAAAATAACTATAAGTCCGTATCTTTAATCACATTTATTATGCGCAGGTTTTTCAGTTAACCGTAATCTTGGAAAAATCGAAAAAAAAATAGTGTACGAAATTCCTTCATTCGCAAATTGCAATGGACGATGATGACCTTAGAAACCGTGTATCGTCACTATTAAGAGTTATGCAAGTAACCAGACTTGTCAAAGACGATAGCATTCCATCCCAAATCGAAGAGGTATTCGGTATTCAAGTGGTTACGTTTTTTTTTTTTTTTTTTTTAATCGAAACTAATTTGATATTCGATTATTTTTTTCAGGGTCTTTACTTAGGTTCGTTAGGAGCTGCATATAATAGAAGCGGTTTAAAAGGCTTAAATATCACACACGTATTGACAGTCGCCCATTCGCTGGCCCCCGCTCATCCCGATGATTTTATATACAAAACTATTGACGGTAATATATATTTATTAAATTTTCAAGATTCAATTTTTTTTTTGCATTTCATTTTAATTCAATAATGATTTTTATTTGTGAATTGATACAGTACGTGATAAAGAAGACGAAAATATATCTCAGTATTTCGAAGAATGCTTCCAATTTATATACGAAGCTAAGGCGGCAGGAGGTGGAATTTTGGTTCACTGCTTTGCTGGAAGATCCAGAAGGTTCTTTTTTTTTCCAATTTTTTTTTTATATAGTTTATTTTTTTAATTCGATTTATTAATGAATTATGCAGTGCGACGGTTGTCGTTGCTTATTTGATGTTAAAAAACGGCATGAGCTTTTCCGAAGCAATGGAATATGTGAAGATAAAAAGAGCAGCCGCTTCTCCTAATTCGGGATTTATTTTACAACTCCACGAGTATGAAAGCGCACTTCGAGGTGCAATTTTTTTTCATTTTCGACAATTTCTGGCTTATTATTTTGTTTCGCTCTCAAATAATCATTTTCTACTGATTGAGAATTTGACAGAAAAAAATAAATGTTTAGATGCAGAAACGAAGAAAAAGAGAGCGCTTGAACTGGATAAGTAAGGAATTTCCGTCTTTTTGTTTTTACTCGATTTATGGGAGGAGAAGACAGCCTTCTGTGTTTAGGTATATATCGCGTAAGCATTCGTTACATAAAAATATAGGTTACAAAATATCTTCGAATTAGAACTTTAGACGGGTTAATTTTTTGCAAGAAATATATTTTTTTTTCGTTGTTTTAAGTCAATGATAGATCGATACGAAATCAGAATCAAGAAACACTTTTGATACGAGTGTTACGGTTAAGTTTGTCTGTCATCGAACAGATTCAATAGATTGAAATTGGAATCAGTTCACGAAATTGTCTGTTATTTACACACACTGGTGTGTGTTTATGTGTGAAGAAATTGTTATAGTATACGCGGCGAGTGTGTACGTACTTGACGTGACAGGGTGTAGCGTAGAACAAACTAATATTACACCTTGTATGCATTCACATCCCATATATCGCGCACATTGTTGGAAATTAGCACGATTAATCGAATGAATTGGGTCGTGTATTTTTTGTTCATTTTACATTGCTTCATCAATGAATTTGCGCATTTTCCCAATTACGATAACGATTAACCGCTCAAATGGTCGTCCGACTAATCCTATAAGACTCAATTGGATCTAGGGGTGGAAATCTGACGAACCGGCTCGGAGTAAGCACTTAACGGAAAAAACTCTGATTTTTTTCCGGAAGTGAAAAATCCATCCCGTTCCGAAAAGCTGGAAATCGCAATTTCGAAAATTGGAATGAAAAAAATCGTTTCCAAATCGGAAATTTTCAGACTGGAATCGGTGGAATCGGAAATTTCAAAGTTTTAGAAATGTATAATAATATTTATATTATAAGTGTAATTTTCGGAAGAATTTTTGTTTTGGGGGA